CTCCCCCGACCCGCAGGAGGCTGCAGCTCCCTGTGTTGGGGCAGGAAGGGCAGCGTTCACCGACTGCCGGGGCAGGGAGCCTGGCCCGGGGCTCTGGCTGCGGTCCAGCTCGGAGACCTGCTCAGGAACCAGGATGGGCAAGGGTGGAACAACCCGCCGTGGTGCTTCAGCCGAGTCTTGTGGGTTTTCTCCGTCCTGTGTCTTTCATGTCTTTATCCTCACTGAATGTATTTGCTTTCCATTACCTTTTATTCCCCCGGAATCCTCAGCTACCCAAAATCATTTTAGAAAGAAAACAAGGCCTGTCTTGGCTTCAAAAGTAAAAAGCTAGGGTAGTTCCTTTATGAGCATATAAAAGCTAGGCTGAACTTTGTCCACGTATGACTCGTTTTGCTCAATCTTGCTGGCTTCCTCTCTCATCTGTACTTAAAAACGTATCTTGCAGAGGTACTGTGCATCACTCGTTTTTGTAACATCTGGTCTGCAGCTGGGAAAAACTGTAAAGCTGAAGACACGGGTGGCTTAGAGCAGAGTTGTTTTTACTTACCACGTAAGCTTTACCCTGTTTAATTCTACTGCATGGATTTATGTTAAGACAAAATATTTATAGGCCTCTAAACAATACAGAGGGTCTTCTCATATTTTTGCAGATATTACCTTAATTCTTATTTACTTACGCATAGATGTTTTAATAATTTCTCAAGAGATCTGCCAAATTCGATGTGTAGTATTTCTTCCGTGTAAATCGTGTAAACCAGAGCGCAGCTGAAGGGGGAGCACTTCAACTGTTTTTGAAGACCGTAGGTTTTTGTGATTTTACGATCGTAAGGCAGCGAGCTGAACGCATTTACAAACAATGAAGTTCTGAAAATTAAGATGTCAAGTATCTAAGCGATCGTGACATTTAATACTTTAGTATACCAAGAGGTAGTTGTGATCTTGAGTACTAGAGTTGTGCTTAATGTTGACGTTACTTATGCTGATTTTCTTGGCTACTTAAGAGAGACTTATAACACTGCTTAAGAATATAAACGACAAAGAAAAATCTACACTTTTTTTTACAGTGTGCCCTTTATGTTACTGGATTTCACCAGCGAGCACTCTTTTTGTGCAGCAACACACAATTTGGTGTCAATTTACAGGTAGTTTATTTTTTTTTTCAAGCTAGTCCGTCATAGATCCACCCACAGTCCTTACTGCAAACCAGATATTCTCTGCCTCTTCCTGCTAGCATTTCAGTCCAGAAGTTAAGGAGACTGAAACTTAGGACTTACTTTAATTTCTTTGGTAACAGTCGATATTTTTTCAAGACTGGAAGCAATGCTTCGGGTGATTGTGGAATCTGCTACCAACATCCCTAAAACAAAGTTTGGGAAACCAGATCCTATTGTTTCTGTTATTTTTAAAGGTAAGGAAAACTGTCATATGAATGTGTGCAGGGAAGGGGTTTTCTGAAGGATAGTACCCTATGTAAGTACTTGAAAATATGTTTTACTGAAGTTACACCTGATGTAACTTTAGGAAAGCTTCAATTAGACAGGAGTTACCTGAATGAAGTTTGAACTGGATAGAGTGCATTCGTCTTTTCTGACCAGCAGTTCTTCTGTTTCAGGATACACATTTTACAAACTTTTGCAAACGCTTAGCCCTTTGCTTAAAAAACTCAATTTTAACTGCATAGATAAATCCACTTTTAATTCTGGTATTGAAGATTACCTGGTTGTTTTCCATCTGAAAAATATAGTTCCTCTGTCTTGATCACTTTGCACAGCCCCTGCTCAATGTTATACCAATATTTATTGTGAGTGGTTTATTGGTTTTATTACCAGTATGTTGAGAATCATAGGTACCGTTATTGAAGGTGTTTGGTTTTGTTTTGGTTTTTAACAAACCAGATTGCACTTCAAAATTTTGCCTGTTGAGAGTATTTAATTTAAAATAAAGATTTAGGAAGGAAGCCACATTTTACACTTTTATTGCTTGTCAGATACATATGGGTAAAGTGAGAAACAGTGTTATAAAATTAGCATTTATGTGTAAAGCTAATTATATTTTACAGTAGATTTTATCTGTTGCCATAATTTCCTCGCCTGACTGCACTAAAGGAACTTGATTTCCAAGTATTGATTTATCTTTAAAGTGCAGAAACATCCAAGCAGTTTTGGATCATTCAATACATTAAATAAAATTGTGACAGTCATCTTAAATCCTGGTGACCTGCTTTCCTAACGGTGCACTGAAATAGGAATGGTATTTCCTAAAGTGTGAAAAATCATTGCAGGGGTTTATTACTTTCAGAAACCAAATCTGAAATAATGACATCTTGCTGGAAAGGCAGTGCATGTCCAGTATCTTAACATCCAAAATAATAAGTTTTCAGATAGTTTATTTTCAGTATCAGAAATGTCATATAATTCCGTTGCCTTTTTTTGCTATTCTATCTCGAGTTTGTTTTTTTTACCCCTGGTGTGTTAAGGCAAGCGGCTGAGCCTGTCTCAGTGTCTTTTGAAACTTGCTAATTCTTAAAATATTTTTTTCTTTGCCTGGTAAAACGTGCTGATACTGTTACTTCTCTGGTGTGTTCCATTTGTTTCTGCTGCTTCTTCAAGCATTCATAGTCTCAGTTCCTTGTCTTTCTCTTTGCTTTACTGTCACAGTTTGCCTTGCTTAGTTACCTCTGTTCCTGCAGTTTCATACTCCAGAGTTGTTTATGCCTTTGCTTCTTTTTGCCTTGTCTGTTTAGTTGATCCTTGTAATCTTTTGTTCCTGCTGTGTGCTAATGCAATTGAGTTTTACCTAGTCAATGTAAGTTACAGATTTGTTTTCTTTTGCATTCCTCAGTCCTTCAGTTACCCAAACACAGGAATTGGGCAACAAACATTAAAGGAATTAGTTTATATTTATCATTTATGTGCTCTAACTGGAATTTTAATGTCTACAAACATGCTTAAACTATTGTCTTAAATACAACTTAATAATTGTGACAGTTCTTTTAGTAGTATATTTAATGTTTCTTTATACCAGGTGCTCCTTTTTATGTGGTTTAACTACATATCAATATTTTGTCTGATTTTTTGCTTTCTGTCCAGAGTGATTCAAGGGAGTCAGAAAATAGCTGGCTTTTGCCAGCTATAGAGGAGCTCAGATTTAATTTGTAAGTGAAGTACATGATTGCCAGCTATGTGACTGTAGGGATCATACCTGAAATATGTTGGACTTCTGGCTGTTTATGTTTGTAGGTATTTTTTATGTATAGCCTGTTTTTTTCCTAACTGTGTTACTGTGTAGAGATGGGAAACCACTCTTATTTTGGGGAAAAGTGTATCTCGGAGGGCAGCAGTCTTTAAGAGAATGCCCACTGTAGCTCCTGGGGACATAAAAAATTGGAAGTTCATTTTCCACACTGGGAAAAACTCGGGTGTTGCAGGTCTTCCTCAATAGCTCTACAGTCCATTCCAGTTTTTGTTTGACTTTGGAGTGTTTTTGGAGAAGTCTTAGAGAAGAGCTCTCATTTGACAGAAAATTGCTGTGGAAGTTGACATTTCATTAAACAAGATTTTGTTAGCTTTTTCAGACTTTAGCCTTTGCTTTTGTCAGGTTCAGTAATTTTAAAACTTCAAGTAAAACACACAGTATCTCTCAGGATTAGATAATGGCTATGCTGTGAAGGAAAAGACTAGTATGCAAGCGACTCTGCAGACACTTTATTGTTAACACACATACCTGAGGATGGCTTAATCTATGTATAGAATAGACCACATTTGTGTAACTAAGCTAGCTATAGACTATACAGTCAGTACAATTAATTCAGTGGCAAATATTAGGAGGAAATAGGCAGCTGTTCCTGCTGTGATGCCTTTCTTACAATAGAGGGGTTTTGTTCAAGCATTTTAATTTTTTTGCACATTTTATGTTCAGTCCAGTGGGATGGAGCTTTTATTTACTTTACTAACAACTCCCTGTTCAAAGAGAGCTACACCCTGAGAGTAAGCAAGTATTGCTGTCTGAAACTGGGTGCTGTTATTGCAGAACTGATAATGGACAAATTCTAAGTCAAATTAATATGAAAAACTGTTGCTGTTTGCTGAAGTGGCACTAAGTAGTAATGATTAAACCAGTACAA